CCCCCCCACAGAACCGCCCCTGCTACATCCTGACACATCCTTCATCTACTGTTTCAACTGAAAGAGGAACAGAAACACATTAAAAATATAATAAAATGTGGAGACTTTGGAATATTTATCTCCCATTCTTTTACAGACCAGACATGTCGTTGATGTCACTGTTTACTACCACTTTTTGTGAAAAATGGATAAAATGATGCAATATATGTTAATTAAATACATGGTTTATACATGTAATTTCTGGGGTTCCATTTCTTTTGATTCTTGATTCTTTTGACCGAATTTGGCCGTGCACATGTGCCGCGCGCGAACCTACCTCTTTTGGATTTGGAAAGGTTGGCATGTATGGTGATTATGTATTCCATTAAATTAGGAGGGTGAATTAACTCTTCTTGTTTTCTTTGTATCTTTAACAGTGGGTAAACAGTGTAAGAAAGCACCATTACAAATTCCCACAGAGCAAACATGTGTCCGACCAACAGCTCAAAAACAGAAGCAACAGCCAACCCTCAGACTTCAACCACGAAAAAAAACATCTTGTTAAGTGACATGAGCAAGCAAACGACGATACAACAATTTAACACGAGTTTAGATTGTACTGGGGGCAAACTAATTAACGAAAAACAAGAGAAAAATGGCTGAAAATATAAAAAAGTTCGGCTGTTGTGACGCGTTTTAATTTACAGTGAAACGTGCTAATACTGGATACGCTCAACTCTTAAACAGAAACGTTTGCATTAAAATTATTTTATGTTTAGCGTGTATGCAAAGGAAATGTGTATTTAGTTGTAACTTACCGCCCTTCTTATAGTCTCCTCCATTCAGACAGGTCCGACATGAAACCGGAGTTGCTAGCTGCCATTTGATGACACACTTGGCTTTGCTGTCGTCTGTCAATTCAAGTCGACGCCTCTCTGAATCATTCTCACTCGGATCAGCTGGAGCCCACACCGGCAGCGAGAGGCACCCACTGCAGCCTGAAATATCGGATAATACAGCTGTGGGGTTTTTTGCATCTCAAAAGAGGACATTTGATTTGAATGTCTGCTACCAATTGTGAGTCACTCCAATAGTTTTGGCTCAAACTGAAATACTTCCTTTTTAAAACTCGGTGTGGGTGGTTTGTGACATTTTAACCAAACACTGAAACTACGTAGGCCTACGTACAATGTAAAATAAAACGTCACGACGCAAAAACAGTGGCTGAAGTTAAACATACGCTAAAAAGTCAGTAGGACCTTCATTAACCCCAAGGCATTTAGGTGGAGCACCTGAAAGCAACACAACATAAAAAACCAAAAGCACTTTTGAGTGAGATAGGGAGGATTCAACATGTTCGGTAAACCAGATTTTAAAAACTGATATGTTTGAGAATTTTCAATAAGGATATCATATGATAGTCTCTAAAAAGCAAACATATGTTGCCTACTTTTAACCGAGTGTGTCGTTCGCTTCTTTTATTTTGAAGGTATTTGCCGGTCATATGTCAGTTTTGTTTTGTCTGACTTGATGCTAATTTATGTTTGTGTCCGCTGCCCTCTAGTGGTCACAGCCAGAATCTGCACCCTGTCGTTATCGTTTAAAACTCAAATTTAGTTTCATTATTACTAATTAACAGGAATATCGTTAATGGTCATAGTATGAATACAAATAGAAACATTTGATCATATAGAATCACGTATAAATATGTAACATATAGGCCTACATGTTATTTTTTGAAGGAAGTTTTATTTAGTGTCTGCCTTGATAATAAGCTGAGGAGAATGATGATTATTCGGCCCTCTTGTGAAGAACTACATCAAGTAAGAATTTGTGAGACTGTCAGAATTTGTCATCAATAGTTCAAAAAAAAAAAAAAATTATGAATTAACGTACTAACTTACATTTTATGAAATACTTTACTACTTTTTTGATTACAGAGATTACTAGAACATTAATTTGTACAATTATGATGCACCATTCATTTTTACGAGATATTTAAATAACATAAAACCATTCAAATTCCCCATTGGTGATAATAAAGATATTTATGCAGATATCTATTCATTTAAATTATTTCTTCTTTTGTTTTTATCTTGTTTAGTTGAGGTGATGGCTTGCAAAGGAAGCTAACAGTAGCAAGCTAGCTTAAATAGCAGATGGCGATTTCCAAAAACTTGAGAATGGCACGTCTAAATCACAATAAATATTGTATATGAACAGTGGAACATAGTTCTTACCTTAGTAAACTTCGGTTTAAAAGGTGTCTATGGTTTAAAAGAGTTGTGGAGGGCATAGGACTGATGAAAAATAAAGCGCAATGTAGCTTATCTCCGTTCTGTAGATAGACTGATTTCGAGGGGCTACATTACATTTCTGGCTATCATGAAAAAAATGCTTTCTTATATAATATAATATAATAGGTTTGAAATAATCACAAGTGTACGCTGTACAATATGTATTTCTGAATGCCACGTAGTGTTGCAATGTTGTATAAGTCACATCAATTTGAAATGCACACCGGCAGTTTAATGTTTCGCTCTTCCTCACTGTGGCCACAAGAGGCCAGTGTAAACACATACACAATTTGTCTTCAAAACAAAAGGACAGTTGTAAAAACAGTCTTGTCGTTACATGTGTAACGTGGATGAAGAGTGATTATCTTGTATTTTCTGTCATCAAAGTAAAATGTAATTGTTGATTCATTGTAATAATAAAGATTAGCTAAACTGATAGCTGTGTGTTACTTTGCCCGCTTGAGGAATACTGTTGATCTCCAGCGTCAAGTACGACATAATAACTAGCATACTAACCCTTCCGGAAACATTTCTTCAAAATAAATCAATCCAATGGATAGATATTTTACAATATCCAATCCAAGTATGTAAAAAAAGGTGACAAACACATTTACCGCTGGGCATTTGTTGAAATGCAGCCAAAAGTTACATTTTGTACGCTTTAGGAAATTCCTTAACTGTACATTTTATTTTAATAAAACAATGATCTAAATATTTGGATTATTCCTGTATAATTGAGAATTGAAATTCAAGATTTGGTGAGTTTTCAAATAAAATACAATTATAAGTTCAGTAACCTAACAGAAAATAAACTGAACATGTATTTAGTTATGACAGTAACAATAAACTGCTTAATTAGTACCAATTGTACCTAAACAAAACCAAATGCATGTATTCTGCTAACTTAGGTAATGTAATGGATGTAAAACCACAACCGGTCAAAATCAGATCAACAGTACCAGAAGTTCCAGCTCCAGTCCATCCTGTGTCATCTTTAAGCAGTAAGGATGGGATTGCAGGCATGGTGATGTTCACAATCTACAAACAAAGACACGTTAGATTTTTTACACTTGCGCCAAACAACTAATGCCGTGTTCATGTTTTCCTATTTTAACTGTAAAAGTTAACTGAAGTGTGTTGTCATCCAAATGTTGGGAATTAGGCTGAGGTTATGGTGCATCTCTATGTCCTGTCACATAAACAGAAAAAGAATGAGAGCTGGAGGGTGCATGAGATACAGAAGGCAAAAAGAAGCATAACAAAAAGCTGTAATATACCTGATGCTATATTTAGGAATTAAGACATGTTTTAAAAAAGGAGACAATTATTCGGGAAATATTTAAAATAAAAACATTGCCTCCGCCAAAAGCTGAATTGTATATTTGAGTATTTATTGTCGACTGAAAGTTAGGGTAAAATTGTTGTAGGCTACTACCATTATTAACGATAATGGTTGCTAGGCACAGGTTGGCACCACTTAATCTGCCCGGACAAGAAAAGATCCCCTCTTGAAAATATTGATAAATGAGAAAAAGAGAGATAGATTTTAGTTTATTTTTTATTTTCTATAAAAGAGATGAGTTTATTCCATGATCATAACAGACTGAATCAGAGACCTCGATATACCACTCACATACCAAAAAAAAAAAAAAAGAGAAAAAATAAATCGAGGAAAATGTTTGAACAAAACCTCCAAAACAGAACAAATGTAACACAAAATAAAATACCTGAATAAAGCAAACTCTGGGCTGAGCTGCGGGTCAGCACATTCTGTGAAGAACTCATGGCACATTATGTCCAACAGTTATTGTGAAAAGAAAAAAAGGCTAAAAGAAAGGAATGACGTTTTTTTTTTTTACCCTTTCAAAACCAGGCTAATAATTAAAATTCTATATTCATATATGGTAGTCTTCATAGAAATTAAAAGGTGACTTAAGAATAGAAACAAGTTCTCCTGAAGTTCATCTGTTTATTCTCCTCATCAATAGAATGCTTATCTACATCGGGGAACATGCCTCTTGCAGCACACACTTTTTAAAAAATTGAACAAAAACAAAACAGTCACACAGCCGTCCAAATGTACACAGTCACACTCACAGACCAGACTCAAACGCTAGTGTGGCAACGCTGAAATATATCTACCTAAAATCCGCTGATTGAACAAATGAGAAAGTAGTTGTCAGATGTGTACACTCATAGAAGTCCAGCTAAAACTAGATTTAAAACCCGAATATTGACAACGGGTAAAATATAAAACGCTGTCTTTTCCTTATTTATTTTTTTTTCCTTTTTGTTTTTTTACACAAACTCTTTCAAAAAATCTCCCTCCCATCTCAAATATTACACCGCCCAATCCTGCCCCGCCCCCTTTCTAAACCCCTCGAAGTGTAATATAAGCCAACGAGAATTGCAATACAATACAGGCACTGGAGAAAAACACCATAAGAGACAAGTGAAGAGGACGAGATGCATTCAGATTTTTAACCCATCCCTGGTCCAAACAATGTCTCCGATAACAGAATTATAACTCACATCCACTATTATTTAACAAGAATAAAGTTATAAATCAAAACTGTTTTTAAAGTTTTTTCAAATTTCTGTTTGTCTTTTCTTTTCGTACTGTTTACAGTGTGCCCTCAGTGAATTACAAGAGGTTTGATGCAAAAACGAACTGGGGGCTCCGCTCCTTCCAGTCATTTTTTTACTAAACCAGATTCAAGTAACAGCTACAGAGGGGTGTGTGTGTCTTATTCCTGATGGTCCCCTTCCTGCTGCCGGCACTTTGATCCTAACCCTTAGCTAAGATCAGAGCGCCAACAGAGAGAACAGCAAGGGACTCCTCATCTCATTTCTTGACTGATCCAGTAGTGTGACTGTTGCAAACACGCCAATGATATCAACATTTCCAACATTATGTCTTCAAATGTAATACAAAGGATGTTGCTAAACTTTTAGTGAAATCATATTCCAACTAAAGCACAGAAACGTCAGGCCCTTTCCCCTTTACTGCTAACAAGTGTAGCTTTAAATAAAAAATTCAAGGCAGGATGAAAACTGATGCTGTCTTTGATAAATACTTGCAGGAACTATGATAATGCATATATTTCAGGTTTTTTTGTCTAGCTACCTACCGTGTTTTAGGACAAGTAATTTAGCATAAAAGATAATGGGTAGTTTGGCATAGACAGAGGTGTAGGAGTGTGAAGGTATGACGACCCAAAGAAGAAAAAGAAAATAAACAGTTATTGTAGTATAAGAAAATACTTCTTTACAGTAGATACTAGATGATGAAAAAAGGTCTGCACTGCTTCTCCTCCTGGTTGTAAATGTTATTGTTTTGTCAACGTGTGCAGTACACATTGGTCTGTTTAGGAAAGAGGTGTAAGGCAAACTGTACCTTCTCTGCTGAGAAATATACACGATATACAGTATGGAAGTTGCCCCAACGACCATTTCATTTGTTCACTTACAACAATCAAAACAAAACATAAAACACCAGTCTTCTTCACCACCTCAGACATCTGGCAGTTTCAAAAACACATCTGCACAGTCTGTCAGTACATTATCAGAGCATTTCATAATTATTAGGGTGTCTCTTCTCCTGCGATTTATTGCGCCCACGCACGCTGTAAGTGAAAAAAGGCAAACTGTGCCAACAGGAGTCCTCTTCCTCCTGTTACATCAGGCAGGCAATGCCAAGTTCCCAGGATGTGACATCCAATAGGATCCCCATGTGTTGTGTGTCCGCTCCACAAGGGCAGAGCGAGCTGGGCGCCCTCAGTCCTCGCTCCGAGGGTCGTCACGGCTACTGACAGTCCGTGGCCCTCTGGGGTGCGTGGTCGCCAAGCGTCTCTCCTCCGAGGAAGTTTACATAATGCAAGTTTTTTGTTTTGTTTTGTTTTTTTGCAGTTACGTTTCGGTCGCTAATCTCCTCAGAACAGGTTCTCCTCAAAGATAGCCATTAAGTCACTTTGGAAATTCATGTCAATTGTTGCAGCCATCTGAAAGGAGAGAAGAACAATTAGCGTTTCCTCTACATTCACTACTTCTGGGAAATCACTCCTACAGCTTAGGGATGGGAATTTGAAAGCAAATGTATGTTCGAATATTCGACCCCCCAAAAAACGGTTAACCGAAATGTACATATCCTATAAAAAAAAAATGTATAAAAAAATTAATAACTCACATTCGAATACTTGAATAATTTCGAATATTCGAATAATCGTTCCCATCCCTACTACAGCTCCACATGAAAACACAATCACTTATTACTGGTTTTAGTCCAAATGTAGCTCTCAATCTATTAGGGATGGGAATGATTAAACTAATATTCAAAATGATTAAGGTATTCAGATATGAGTGATGAATATTTGTATTGTAATTTTGTGTTTTTTGATGGGAGGGGTGCCTAAGTTGATTACATATTATCAAATAGATTAATTAAATGTGTACGATAGTGCCATTTTAAATATCTTAAGAAAAAAAACAAGTGTCAAGTCCTACACAACAAACATGGCGTCAAAACGGAGTAATGTGTGGAAATATTTCGACCAGGTTAGTAAACTTTGGTTGTTGTTGTAATGTATAGGATATGTACATTCGGTTAACTGTTTTTTGAGGGGTTGAATATTAGAATATACATTTGGTTTCAAATTCCCATCCCTATAATCTATATCTATATCTTTTAGACTACGTTACAGTTATCATTTGACTATTTCCGTTAACAGTTATCTCACCGCTTCCCGCCTCCTCCTCTCCTGCTCTCGGCGGCGAGCGAGCTCCCTCTGTTGGTCGAGTGGGTTCTGTGCAGCGGGCTGAGGCGGGGTGGGGGGGGCAGGAGGCTGCTGGATGGCAGCAGGCGGGGGCTCCTGCTGTTGCTGCGGTTGTTGATGTTGTTGCTGTTGTTGCTGCTGCTGCTGCTGCTGCTGCTGCTGCGACTGAGCTTGAATGTGTTGCTGCTCCTGACGCCGGCGCGGCTCCTCGTGCACCCGTCTGGTCGGCTCAATGATGTCCTCTTCATCCCGCCCTCTGGAAAACATTCAGGAAAATCATTTACACCAGGTGGAATCTAATGCTTCTCACATTGCTGTAAGGGCTTCACTTTTGGTTTTGTGTTAGAAAATGGCTGTGCTTATAATAAAAACAGATCACCTAAAGCCTTACAACTCAAAACACATAGAATACAGAGATGTCTCGGCTTAAGCAAACAGTTCTAAACTGACATAAGAAGCAAAGACTGGTGAGCAAAGCTTTCTCTGGAAATCAGTCTCACTATTCTTTACTACACTGCATCCCTAAAATCTATCAAATGGGCTGCAACATGTCCACTAGAGGGCATAACACATCTGTTCATCATACAGGGATTCTGGCATCATTCCTCATCAGACTGTCTACCTAAATACATTTGCACCAAAAGTGCAATGATAACACTTGTATGCTGTTGAAAGTGTTACATCAACACTACAGTTTGAAACTGTATAACGCAAAGGGTCTTTGAAGCTTTGCTCGATCTGTAATTAGATGGACTCAACACAACAAAGTGTATCAGCCTCACAAACTTATTTTTCGAATGACTTATATGCTTTGTTGAAGTAAAAATACAACTATTTACAGCAGGGATGGGCTGCATGCGGCCCGCGGGCAACGTAATTAATAATAATAATAAAAAATAAAAAAAGTACTGTAGTACTGATACCGTCCACTAGACTCCTAATTACGTCGCGAGCTGCGTACATGATTTCAAATACCGTGAAATAATCTGTGACGCATTTGTGTGTATTGTGTTTGTTTCCCGGGGAAACCCTCTCAAGAAAACACCGGCTGTTGTTATGCCTGCTGTGACGTTAAGTTTCCTCTTTTAATGCCTTGACAAGCTTAAAAGTTGTATTTATCATCTGAATTTGGCGAAACAAGTTTAATATTCTTAAAACCAAGACTTTGTTTATTTGAAATCAGATGAAAACAAACTGTCACGGACCCTGCCGTTTTATCTATGATTACTACGCTTTTCATTCATAATTTCAGCGGGAGGGAGGGGGAGTGGTATGAGGAACAGCAGAGTGCGGGCTGACAGGTGTCTGTGTTGACATTCCCCTTATTGTGGAATGAGGGGAATGCAGAGACTGGCTACAAGTGTCTTAAGTTCAAGTGAGACAACTAATGTCTGGGTTAGTGTTCATGACTTCATGTTTATCTCATCTTAAAGTCCTTATCTTGCGTAATTTACTGTAGCTGAAAGATCATAGAACTGTTTCAAAATGCATTAACTTGTTGGGTCTTATTCCAGTAACACGTGATATAGATCGNTCATGATTTCGTACAGCAGCCAAATACCGCGAAATAATCTGTGAAACTTTTGTGTGTATTGTGTTTGTTTCCCGGGGAAACACTCACAAGAAACACCAGCTGTTGCTATGCCTGCTATGACTGTAATTAGGACTTTACAAGCTTCAAAGTTGTATTTATCATCTGAACAAGTTTAATATTCTAAAAACCAAG